ATATTAATAAATATGTGGCAAAGAATGGAGATTTGTGGTAGCAATCTTTTGAATAATGGCACAAAATAGATTATTTAAAATATATTTAGTATTTTTATACAATGCATATTTTAAGAATGGACTATTTTTGCCATCTTCTCAATTTGTAACAAAATTACCATTAGTGTAAATAATCATCATGATAGTATTACCAAAGGTCATGGACTTCAGCAAAGGTCATTATGTAGCTTCTTAGAACCTGAATAATGTATTCAGCCTTTACATTCAGTCTGTGTGTAACTTAGGCTCAAGCTAAAAGGAAGAACCTTGCTAACAATCCTGATACCTGTATCTGTTCTTCATCACCGAAGTTCTGCTGTAACTTTCTAGCCTACTCAGCAGAATGATATAGAAGATTTATCATTAATGTTAGAGTTAACATCTTCAAAATATTACAGAGACTTTTCTGAAAATTTAAATTCTTATTCTGTTAGGACCAGATCATGCTGTAACACAGCATCCTACACAGTGGGGTCTTTCAGTTTGTGAACAAAGAAGCTATTTTGAAAAACAGTGTGCTGTTGGATGTAAGCTTATTTGAGGAAACTGCAGATGGTAACAAGGGAGTTTGTTCTTGTCTGTCACCTCTGTGCCTAAAGCCAGATCTGGGTGGAATCTGAAGAGTTGTGCACTGGGGTTGAGCTCCTGGAAGGGATTTTACCGTAGGTACCCTTTGTATGATGTTCCTTCCACCTAACTCCAGTTTAAAAGCTACACATACCATCTGAATTAATCATTAAGACTCCCTCTCCAATCAGTAGAGAATGCAAGCACTTGGAGATAGTGATTCACCTATCTTGTTTAAATACTTTGAAAAGAAAGACGTTGCCTCGGGAAGTGTTCTCTGTTGACCTGTAGAAGAAGCCTAGACAATTAGCTTAGTTGTGACTACTGTTTAGATGGCTGCAGTTAACAGAGGTGAATCCTGTCCCATGTGTCTAATGCATAATAATCCCCAAGTGGGTAGCTGTTTAAAAAAAGACACACCACTTGCAGCTAGAAAGATGGCAAAAAGCATGATGCCTGCTATCCCAAGTCATGTAGCCAGATTGTTTTTCTAGTACATCCTTCCAAGTCACCTGGTGAAGAAACAGCTGTGAGCTGGCTGAAGGGTGTGCCAGAGATCATGCTTTCCAGGGATTCTAATTCTGTAGTCCTTATTCAGACCTTTCCACTGAAACTGATAGAAATTATGGCAAAGGACTATAAAATCAAATGCACTCTAAGATGTTAGTGGAAGCGGAGTGCTCCTGTACATTTCTGTAAGACCATTAAGTGATGGCTAAGTGAAGGCACTGCCACTGGAGGCTTTCAACAGGGTTCTTTGCAGACCAGCTATTATGCAGTGTGAGGAAAAAGAAGCATTAGCCAAACATATCACCATAAATAGGAATAAAAATACAACATGTCACTGTGCACTGATACACTTTATTCAGGGCAGAAGTGGTGCAGTTGCATAACTTAAAAACATGAGCCAAGAAGTCACCAATATTTGCAAAACACTCCTTTTTTACTCCCTTCCATTATGTTTGTAATTTGAATCAAACTGCTGGAGATAAAATGAGATACAAAGGCAGAAACTGAAAGCTCTCACTCACGTCACCTTCCAGTTAGGAAAATCTAGGCTGTTGCTGCTGTTCTCTTGATTGCCTCAGCATAGCCCCATTCCTTCCTGGGGAGATCTGTAATCAAAGCTATCGCATTTTAGTAAGCAGACAGTATTATAGCTCAATCAGCATCTCCTGGATGTCCCAGCAGGGAGGACCTGGAGGCACTTGCACGTGGGCAGAGAGATGCCCTGAACATTTCTGCACTACAGGGTTTAGCATAAAGGTTGCTCCAACTTTCCCCCCGGTTCAAACTTCAGGTTAACACACAAATTAAAATGCTGCCATTCTGTGTCTCTGTGCTAGTGATGACACCTCGCCTAGCAGGACAACCCCCAAACTACGGCCAATACCGACTGCATCAACTGGGTCTAGGTTTAAAAATAAGTCGAATAATACTTCCAGCCTTTATGTGCTTCCATTTCCAGTTAGCTCGAAGAGGAATAAACCAGGCTATTTAGTAAGCGCTCTCAACCGAAAGGTGACCTGTTCTTGAATCTGACCTTTTAGCTCAGCTTCATGGGTGGGTTTGGCTCAAAGCATTCATTATGCCTGGGTCGCCAAATTCAAAGAAATAGGTGGAGTTAGACTATAAGATGTTTACTTGTGTTATGCTGGAATTCCTTTGCTCTTGCCCGAGGGTCTACTTTGGAGGCCTTCAAAGTTAAAACTGCTACTCTGTTCCTGCCTGAAACATTTTGTTCTTAGGTTTCTCTCCTGTCAATAGGAATTAGAGGAACCTGAAATGTTGTCCCTGTCTAAATACAGAGCTAAAAGTAATTCCATGTTGTGTGATGCTCAAAGCATCGCTCTCTGCTAGTGTTGTGTGAAAGATGGGCAAAAAATGAGGAAAATGCACTAGCACCCTTAGTAGAGACCCTTTGTTGACGCCCTTGTACAACCTACATAAGGAAAAGGGTCTAGTTCATGGATCTTAACCACAGGGGCAAAGTGTAAATGACCACAACGGGGAAACAGCATTGGTACAACCAACCAATCCATTTAAAAAGGCATACAGGAAGGAAACTAGGAAAAACAGAGGATAGATGTTTTTTCTTTTTTTTTTTTTTGTGTAAGAACAGGTTATGTTTATATTAGAGGGAAGTGTGCTCCATGGTATGACCCTCAATCCATGTCCCCTGGCTGTCCCTGTGTGACCTCCTGGACCATACTGCAGTTGCCTTCTGGCCTGTGCTTTGGAGTTTAGTTTCCTTGAAAACCAAACACATATTTACATTGTCACTAAAAGCTACAAGTAGAACAACAATTATTTTTTAAATGGTGCTGAACAATATATTTTCATTTTATTGTTGGAAGAGGTATTATGTAACATGTTTTTCTATTGTACATATATCCACAGCAAACCTTATTTCCTAGGTTTTTATCACCATGTTAAAAAGCAGTATGATGAGGATGTCCACATCTCTTAAGTTTAATTCCAAACATTTCCTCTCTAAACAAAAAATGTTTTCATTCTTCTTTGTGATAAATCCCACTTGTGATCAATTATCATATTTGTATACACATTTTTTAACATTAAGCTAAATGCTGAAGGAATGATATTCCCAGTGTAGCGTCCAAAATATAATAAATAATACATAATTTAAAAATCTGGCATACTTATAATTTAAAATAAAAGAATAACATGTCATTAAAACAGCATTTCACTGAGTTTTTATGCAATTTTAGAAATTCTCTTTTCTCACCCCAGATTTGGGCATCGATCAGGGATCACTTGGTGTTCTGGAAGAAGTTGCTACCATCCTTTCAGCTGAAAGTTGAAGCATTTTCAAGAATGTCACAGGAATTTTAAATGACACAGCAGCAAATGGTATTCGATTCTGATGCTATCAAAGAAGGAGTAAGTAGTAATTGAGGTGATTGGAGTGAGGCCTGAACATGGTGTGGAATCTGTAGCACTCAAAGCAAACAGAGACCCCACTGGGAAATGTTTTAGACAACACAACACAGAACGCTGTTCATGTCTTCTGTTGTAACCATTGTTATATGCTTGAAACCAATTCATTATGCTTTACCAAGAGCAGGTGACTGGAAGGCTCTGAGCAGAATATTCTGCTATTCCTTCTTTTGTCTGAAGTTCAAACAGTGTTCTGTATATTTTACAAAAAAAAACAATTTTCTGTCTCTTGAAAAAATCTCAAAAACAAATTGTTTCATTAATGATGCCCTTCCCCTTCAATAAATACATATGGCTATAACTGATTCATACTGTAAATCAGCTGTGATGTTGATGTGGGAAGACTCCCAAATCTTTGTCCTGTCTTAGCAGGCCCTTGGAAAGTGTCATCATTATTGGTTTTAACTCCAAACTTGAAAGTGCCCGAACAAAATACCGACAGAAGTTTGCTTTGCTAGTGCATACTGTATGAGACCATTCTCATTACCTAGCATGAACTCTCATTCACTTCTGTGAAAGACAGGAGGTCAGTGGGCATGCAGGCTCTGCAGAAGCTTGCTTAGAAAATTTTGCGTGTTACTGTCTTTTGAGGATCAGCTTGAAGACCCATGACAGCAAGAATCTAAAAGATCTTGGTAAAACTGACAGTGTGAAAGACTTAGTGCAGTAAGCAGTACGCAAGTGGAAGCAGGCACCAGTATTTTCTTTCTAGGTAGCCACTGTTGAAACCAGTCGTTTCCCTTAATTTGCTCTTTTCAGGCAGCACTTTTGTCACTGGTGTAATAATGAGCTCATCCCATCGCTTTATAAGAGCAAATGGATGCCTTGATACTGATACTTTCTATTTCAAAATAAGTTGTTACTCTTCTAATCTAGTTCAATCTTCGTCCATATTCTGCAAAAGTTTCCTGAAGAGTTCTTAAATTTCATTAAAACTAAAAAAGAAATTGTTAATAATTCAGGCTCATTTTCTCATACAAATTACTGTGGATGAAGAATTTAAGGAAGGGTGTGCCAAACACTGAGGACTGTTGGTATTCCAAGTCAATTAGAGCAGTTAGTGCCTAATTAAGTGCTAATTTATGCCCTGTGCAGTCTCATAGAGGGTAGAAATTTGGCTCAGGCTAGTTGGAAAACAAGATTCTAGCTATTACATGTGAAAATATCTACTATTTTTATGCATACAAAACCTACTTTGTTTTATATGAGTCGAGTGCACTGTAAAATAAGGCTAAACTCTTATCCTGGTTTGGCTGGCTTTCTCTTACAGTTTCAAAAGTTTCACAAACATTCATTTTCCTGTATCCTCAGAAGTCATAGAATATGCTAAAGACAAGCTGTCTGGCAGCCAATTCTCCATGTTTCCTTTAAAAAGCAAATTTAACTGTCTTCTGCAATAACAGAGTTGAGAATCTACTGATGCTCACAGTATCTTTATTCCCTGCTTCACACAATAAATAGAAATTTTAGCTACAGCTGATTAAACCAGGAACTGGTGACAACTATTTGAGCCAGGCTTTCGGAGGAAAGACCTTCCTAACTTCCCTGCATGCTGCAGCAAACACAAACATCTTTCTTGTCCATGCAGGGAATGTATCTTAAATCCCAAGCAGAAGTAATGTCAAATTTTAGAGACTTGACCTCCACAGCGACCTGTCAGTTATCTCTGATGCAGCACATGGGAACGTTCAAATTGCCACATCTGGTTTGCATTCTTGTTACATACACACAAAAACAAGTCCTTCTCATCTTCATTCTTTGCTGCCTCTATGCATTTGCCAGAAAGGACATGGACAATCATTCCATTCTACAAGACGAGAGAAGAAGGGAAAGAAAGAACAAATTAAAAATAAGGGATCTCCAGTAAAAGCTACGCCATGTTTCTGAAGCTTTTTACATACAATAGATCACTAGTAATGACTGGTTGTTCAAAATTTTTTAAGTATTGTGCTAAATGTAATGATCAGGTTTAGGTTTGAGCCCAGGGCCTGGTGAGCATGCATAGCTCCTTTTGAAGCTGACAGGAGTGGTAGGGTGCAGAATTCACTAAATCTCTTTTCCACCACTGTTTTTTTCCTATGGGTACAGGTTGTCATCAACTACAGTACTACAGGCCACAAAACTTCAAAAGGACCAGTGCTTCCCTTAGGAATCAAAACAAATTACAGTAGGAACTGTACCTGAGGATTGCAGCATCCCTGCATCTATAGGAATTGCTATTTTCCCAGGCTGTCCTGGGAGTCCCTGCTCTGCTGGGTGAAGTCCACTGAATAATATTAAATTCCTCTAATAGGAAGTTTGCTCTTCTCTTACAATGCAGGAAGAATTTTAAAGTTTCCCCTACTCCCAAAGGGCTCTCATTTGGGAGGATTCAGGGTTCCCAGGCCCTTCGTCTTCATTCAAAAAGAAGTGGGCAAGGATTTGCCCTGCTCGTATTTTCACAACCACTGATTCTGATTCTATTCCTATAAGGCCAGTAAGACAAACAGTGGGCAAAAGGCATCCTAAATTTCCTGAGTGAAAATGGTACAGAAGTGAAACTTGCCCTTCAGATACCTCATCCCTTCCCCACACACAAATCCTGTCAATCACCCACAGTCACCATCACCTGCCCTCCCCTCATGGCAGAGTCACTACTGACCTCCTGGACATCCCAGCGCTGTTTGTTGTCTGTCTCCTTTGTACAGTTTTGAGGGATAACCTTCCCGTGTCTGACATCAAAGCAAAACAGCGGAGCAGAACCAAGCCGGATTTCCTTCATGCTGTTATATTCAAAGTGCTGGAAAAGGGAGGGTTTGTTTGAACAATGGTGGAAGGACATCCCCATTCATTTTTAAATGCTAATTCCAAAAATCATTTCCTATATATGTTTGTTAAGATGCAACACAAACATGAGTGACAGAGACCCAACAGCCTTGACCCTGCAAAGCAATCCCCCCTGCTAGCTAATTCTGGCATAACTATTTACCTAAGGAAAGGCTTTGTGTACTGGAATTATGTATAAAGTAAACCCATCCTATAATAAAATTTTCTAGTTTAATAAATATTTGAACAGAAGGGTGTTTCTGACAGTGTCCACACACACTGCAGTTAGAAATCTGCCTGCAGCTCACCCCGAGTTCAGTGTGAGCAGCAAAACTTGCTTGGGACTTAGAGTAAATAGCTGTAGTTGGCCTGTATTGGTTTGGCTTCTCTTAATGCATGAACTTGCTAGTCTAACGCCTGCTTGGGAGTCTACATGAAGAGAGTCTACTCCCGTCTCTGACTGCAGTTTAAACACTAATGGGGAAACCCATCCCCAGTGCTCTAGAACTGTTACGTATTTTTTACTCCCCGACTTTCTGTTCTCCAGACACTACCAAATATACTTACAAACAGGCACTTAATGATGTCTGCTGGAGCAAAGTGTGCGTTATCATCTGACCTCAGTGACACACAGAACATTGCCATTTTTCAAATGACACTCAGCTGCAGAAGAGTGGGCATCATTGCCTTAGCACATGTCTAATTTTGAACACATCAGTACTTCCACTAATGTCAAGCCAGCCATTTACATGTTGGAGCGACTGTCTTCTGGATGGTTCCCTAGATCTGATACAGTGCCTATATACTTGAAGTATAGAGTACCTGGGTGAGGCTGTCACTGCAAGGGGAGAGTTTGATAGAGCCTTCTGCAATGGCTTTTCCAGGTCTGTAATCTGCACAGAAGCCAACACCAGTATTGTAAAGCTGTAAGTAAAGGTTTATACTGAAGTAAAGCACAATCAGATACAAACAAAATATCCTTCAGCTAACTTTTTTGTGATTGTATCCCTTTATGATACACTTTTTTGCTTGTAATTCAGGCAATATTTTTTCTTTCAGACTAGATCTTGCATATTGATCTTGCAAACTGATCTGTTATAAAAGGCAGAGTCTCACAGTCAAAGGTCAGTGTTACCCAGTGAGTTTTGTTTAAGTTAGATACCCACTCCTGGTTTTAACTATTTTGATAGTTAAAAGAAATATGTCAAAAATTTTATGCTAATGGAAAACTGCACTTCAACTGGGCACTGTAGTCAGAAAAATGAAGATATTCTAGAAGAAAAAAACATGAGACAAATCCTGTGATCCACACTCAGTTCTTTCTTACACTCTCTTAAGCAAACTTTGATAACAAAGAACAGACAAAATAGTAAAAGGACACAGTAAAATCTGGCTACAGATACCAGGGTGTGACTCAATTAGTGGACCTTGTTGCCTTGTTGGGGGAAAATCCCTTCCACTAAGGCTGCCTGGAAAAAATTTGTATTTTAATGAATGATAATTATGGACTTACGTGTTTTTAAAAAAAATTTGAGAATATTGCCTCCTGTACACAGTCTGCCGAGGAACTGCTATTGCTACGACCTCTGCTCTTGGGAGAAGTGCAGGACTGAAGAAATACTTTTTTCTCTTCATGCACATAGGGCAGTGCAGAGATACCTCAGCTGCTGTTGCAGTTGGCATCTGCATGAGGCAACACAATTCTCTTCCTTTAGTAATGGCACCTAAATAACCTAAGGTTAGGGTACTCTGAGCTGTGACACTGAACTGAGTCAGACAATCTGGGTTCAGCTGCTGGCTGGCTTTCAATGTTTATGTGAGAATTTGGACCTCTCATCCTTGTTGCATTGTCTGTTTGGACAATAAACATTTCAAAGCAGAAACAGCCTCTTCCTGTATGCTCACCTGACTACTTGGTACATGGAAGTGATACTGGGATCTCCGAACAATGCAAAACCACTGGTCATTATAGTGTGTTTTGTCTTACCTTGCCAGAGAATCTTGGTGTGTCTTCAGGTTGGGAGAGTTCAGGGTACACATTTGATATAAACCATTGGAAATTTCTACAGCCCAGTCTCTTCTGTAGCTGAAGGCGCTCACTGCAGTCTGGCTTCTCTGCCTTCACGGAGAAAGCACAGGGGCAACAAGGTTACTAGTGTTAGAGATACTAGAAATGAAAATGACCACATAGGAATGCTAGAAATGAAAATGACTGCATAGAAATTACTTCCACCACCTCTTCTATGCTGCATGTAATAGATATTGATATATATCTCTCATGAGCATGTGAAGGAGGAGGACCAGCCTTCCTTCAACTTTGTGCTAAACCAGCATTTAGTCAGGCATTGTAACCAAAGTAAATGTTTCACAAGTAGCATACACTGTGAAAGTATTTTTTCTAAAAATTATTATTATACTGCAAGATAAGTCAGTCTTTGTGATCTTTTTAATTAAAAAAGTCAGGGCCAAGTTTGATACTTGTTGCACTGAAATCAGTGGAATTGTATTAGATTGTCATTCAGGACAGAATTTGCCCCACTGATTAAAATTCAATTTCCTGGCCTTTAAGAGCCCAAATTACCCAGTTATAATCAGTCCTCCACAATCAGAGGATGTAAGTGATAACAGAATTTAGCCCAAAATATAATCTATCACGTTATTATCTGACAGTTACTAAATTTAGTAAGCGAATATGTTTTGTGGCTATAAAGGCATAAAACCTTTCCTGTGATTGATATGCTTTCTTGAATTATATACACACAATTTCAACTCTCACTCTTCCTGGTAGCAACTCTGTTCTGAAAAAAGACAAGTGTCTTCAACCTTTGGTGCAGCTATGGGCAACTGCACTGCAAAGGACTCACAGTCTGAAAATTTGAGGGTATTTAGCACTGAAGATGTCTAACAAGGTTATGAAATCCTCTAAGCAGGTAAGTGTCTAATCTTTCAGTTTCAAAACCACACAAAACATTTTTCTAAATTTCTCAGTGCCCAAATACTAAAAACACCTCACCACCCTCCTCTTTCTTGCCAGCAGTAGATCTCCCCATTCACATTCCTGCTTGGATTCTAAGGAACTGGTCTGGATCCTTAATCAGAAGTTAAAATTGGTGACATAAGTGAAGAATTGCCTATAAATAACTTTTCCTCAGTCTAGTAATTTCTCTGCATCCGTAAGAAAGAAAAAAGGACTTTGCCACGTGCCTGGAAAACACTGACAAAAAAAGGGCCTTGGAGATTAAGAGAGAGGTATCAGCCTCTAAAGGCAGGGATCAATCATGCCATGTGCCAGCCCCTGTAAGCTGCACAGGCAAAGCTCAGCAGTTGCGATATGTTAAAGAGAACCTCATAGTTTAACATCAGTCTTAGATTCAATAAGCATAGCAACAAAGTTCAGCAACACAGCACCACACAAACCCGGCCCCAAGAGGTTTTCCTGGAAAAGGGAAATACAGGAGTAAAATGCTTTCCCTAAAGAGATATTTCTCATGAGACTCTGCTTTGGCTGAAGAACGCAATGGTAGTAAATCTCATTTTGTCATACTAGTTACAGTCTGCAGTTGATGCCGAATAAATGGTGTAAATAATGTAAAGAAAGTCATTATCTCTGTAAACCAATCCGAAAGGAAACTGTGCTTGTAAATTAAATAAACAAACCATATAAGAAAAGGACAAAAAGGGAGGATGTCTGAAATAGTAGGGAGCTGGGAAGAGCCTTATTCATCTGCATTAATGCTGACACCACGGGCATCCTCTGCGGGATGCGATTCAGAGCATAAAACGGGAATACTTATAAAGCAACCTAAACGGGGGTCACTCGTTATTTTCTGGAGTGGGCGATGCCGGTGCTCAAGGCTCACGGAGATTTTGGTAGTGGCCAATAGGTGGCTCCGCTCACCCTCTCAGTGCAATAAATGCCCGCAGGGCCCATCTCCAGCTGAGCGGCAATAATGTCCTTGCTTGCTTGTGTCTTTTGAATAACATCCCGCTGCACTGACATACTGAAAATATTGGCTGTGAAAGAAAGGAACAGAGAAAAGGGCCTTTTATGTCATGGTATACTGAGCACAGAGATCGTAAAATTGATCAGCTGAAGGAGCATTTTACCTTGATGTAGTAAAAGTATTCTGGCTAGAATAAACTCTCAGGCAAAAGGTCATAGTGCTTACAGCTAGTAAACTGTATCATTGTTGGCTGTAGTTTTTAGTACAGAAAATTGCTTCCGAGTTGACACAAAAGGCTTTCTGGCAATTATTAAATGATTTAAGGACCTAACTGCCCATCTTAAGGCTTGGCCTAGTGTCCTCCTTTCAATTACATGGCTGTAACCCTTGTGAGTCAATTGATGAACTTGTGGCCATTGGAATTCAAACCTACAACACAGACAAGGAGGGAGTAGCTTTTTAAAAAATGTGAAAATAGAATTAAAAAAAACCCGTGCCATAGTCTCAGACTCTAGGATTAGCACAGCAGGCTGACTGGAGAGGCAGTTCCACTGGTGGTGTGTAAGGAGGTCAGAGCAGGTAACAGGAGAGAAGCCACAGCAATGCAGAGCCTTTTCTTCTCCCCACTACAATGCAGCTCCTGCTGGATCTGGCTTTCTTAGGTGATGGCCAGCATTTCAATGACCGAGGTGTGCAGGACTGAAATGCAAGAGCAAAATGGGAAATTTTGCACACCATGCACTACCCATGCTCTGCCTAACTGTTTTCAGTGAATCTTTCTTCTTAAAAGCATGGCACTGTTAGATGAACAAGAAGATGAATGACTATTTTCATTCACAACTGCTCACAAGTTTGTCCACTGTCTTGTAGGAGAGGATATCATTACAAGAAAAGGTATTGTAGCCAGAGAATTCCTGAAAACTGCAGCAACATTAACAACTTCACATTATTAACAACTTAACATTAACAACATTAATGATATGAACCACAGCTACATGACTCCCAATAAACAAACATCCACTGGTTTGTAATACATGGGATATACAGTCCCTTGACTGATCTTAATCTGCAGTGGATTATACAGTGTCTTAAAAACATGTGTGGCCATTTTGCAGTTGTTGGATGGTGTATATCCTGTAGATGGTTCAAGTGTGGCCACATGCCAGGGCTACACCACATACCTGGCTGCAAGCCTGTCTCAGCATACAGGCTGCTGGGAATCCAAATCCCTGGAGACTGGACTGCTGTCTGTGCGATGCTTCTAATGAAAAAGTAACTTGTAAATAGTGCCTATGTTGAGATCTGGCTTTCTCAGTTACAGACAGTTGCTCCTGGACGTCTGTCAGTTCAGGAAAAAATCACCTTTTTTGTCACTAGACCACTCAGGTATGTTCCCTTCCAATAAGAGAGACACCACAGTTTGCCATGTGCCTGTGAATATTACTGAATATCCTCATGAACCAAATAAGGAAGACCTTCAGTAATGAAGAATTAATTCTCTAGGAGGGCCCTAGAGCACACAGTGCTACTAGCTTCCATTTCAGATGCACTGCAACCCTCCATGTACTATCAGTGGAAAAACAAATCACCTTGTTGGGCAAGCTGAAGAAGGAGTCATTTGGAGAAGGAGTCATACTCTAAGAGATTTGATAATTTCAGCAAACAACTCCTAGGCACAAGCTTCTCTCTTTCCTTCCTGATCTGACAGCTCTTCCACTGGAAGGTTTCATAAAAGGACTATCTCCAGCACCATGCACTTTGACTGTTTGACTGCACACAGACACCCCCACCCCTATTCCATCCCCTTCACCTACTTCAACACACATTCCTTCCCTCAGAAACAAACGACTACAGATGTCTTTACCTTGCTGATTAAGAAAGCCACGGTGTCATGCTTGTAGAAGTTCTCTTTAAAAGAGCCCAGCCAGGTCTCTGCTATTCGGATTTTGTTCCTCACAATGGCCTCTTCATAGGAGAAAGCACGGGGAGAGTGATTCCGATAGACATGCCCAACTCGGGAGCATGGAATAATTTCTACAGAGCCACCACAGAGCCAGGTCTGAAACACAGGTGAAAACACAAAAAGAGATTACCCTATTCAGATTACCTTTATCTAAAAAGGAGAAGCTCCTTTACTATAGAGTCTGCCTCAGGAAATCCTAACCTGCACATTTCTGGAAACAGCAAGAGCATTGTTATGTGCTTCTACATACACTGTTCCCCACAGACACAGAGACACAGAGAAGATAGTGGGCAAGACAGACCTTTGATTTGACCCAGTATGGCTATTTATATGCTTTTATGTTTTTCTGTGCACAATGCAGTGTAGTGAAGAGACCTGGGGGCACACCTTCTTTCGTCTGGGACATTAAAGGCTCTATACCCTTTGTGTCAGCAATTTTAATTGCTTCTTAGTATCTGTTACTCTTTGTATTCAGCAAAAAAACAATGCAAACAATTTAATATAAACAATCTGGTATTAAAACTACAGGTTGGCAAAGAAATAAAGCTACTCTCCCTTCGGTGCATGTTACATGCCAAAAAAGAAGAGGCAGCTTTCAGAAGGTACTGAAACCAGTGACTCTGTCCTCAGGCAGATAGTGACAGCCAGTGAAACTTCCTTCTCCTGATATAATGTTCCTAACTCACAGCTGCTGCATGTTCTTGTATAGTCCTGACAGATCATGGAGCGTGGGGACAGATTTCTGCGAGGAAAGTGATATTCTCCATACCCCAAGATGTTCTGCACTTAATTGCTTTTATAAATTGCTTCTTGCCTTTTCATTTAGGTTCCTTAAAAGCCCAATAGTTACCACAGCTTGATGTTTTAATTATGGTTCTTACCCTTATAGAGAGCTCCATATTTTCTGCTCCCCACATGGTCATGTCAGAATCATAAGCTCCAGTGTTTTGGAAGTAATGTCGATCCATGGCCACCACTGCACCAGCTACCACAGGACTCCTGTGTAGAAAATAGTTTGGAAGTGCACACCTTTCAGTTTTGGATAGGGAATTATGTGAAGGATGAAAATCCCACCATTTCCATAGAGATTGTATTACAAAATGAATACTTGATTGAAGACCACATAAGCTTGAATTAATTGATTACCTAACCAAAAGAAAGAACAACTGGAACTGAATTCCACGATTTGCTTGGAGAAGGGAGTCAAGAGATGATTAAATAAGGCTCAGAGCAGTGGGATATGTTACATACATGTACACCCAAAACAACAGACAAACAGACAATGATTAAGACATGTCTTTTAACTCCGTATGATCCATCTTTTGCTTTCCCTACCAACCTCCACACCTTGTGTGGTCAGGTTGTATACTAGCTGTCTCAACATGTGGAAAATATTTGTCATGTTGAAAGTATGACTGCAGTCTAGTTAGAATGATCACTAAAGGCCAAACAAACTCAGTGTAAACCAAAAACCTATCCCTTCAAAAAATGTTAACCAAGCGTATGCAAGTAACCACATTTCTCTTCTGCTAGTTGGAAGATGACCTGAGTTGTACAGTTTTGCTGCTGAGCTGAGCGGAGTCATGTTGGCTGATGGACTGTTACCTGATAGGGCTGATGGGAGACTGTCGTACCTTCTCTTCAGGCTCTGGCACTGGTTCCCAGTGAAAATCTAGTTTCCAATCAAAAACACCTCGATGCAGGCCCACAGAGTGGTAGTACTGGAAAGTCTTCCAGTCTATGACATCTATGACAGGGGAGACAACACTGTTTCTGAAAAAGAGAATATAATTTATTTTCAGAGCCAAAGCATAAGTTTAGATCACTACTGTGTTAGCAAACAGTAGTTCTCCTTTTTGATACTGTCAAGCATAAGCACTTCTCAAGATGTTGAGTGCCCTTATTTTCCCTGCTGATAGAAGCTCAGATGCTCAGTGTATGGGAATACTGAGCCTGCAGTGAGGAATCTAAAGATGAATAATTTATTGATAACCTATACCTTGCATTGTCATTTTAAAGCTACTCAGGATATGCTAAGAGTTAACAATCAGAATTCTTATAAATTCTTCTAAAGAGGCCCCAACCTCTGATGTTGTAGGTTCTGTATGGATGCAAATTTTATAGCAAAAAATTATTTTGGCCTCACATACTTTGTCATTCTTTGATTTTCCTCTAGATCTTCCTCAGGCTTCATGAGGTTGTCACTTCAGGCCAATGAAGAATGCACTTATCCTTATTTTATTCTGCTGTTTGTTTTGCAAAAACTTTTAACACTGAGTTCATAAACCAGTTTCTGTTTGTATTGTATATTATCATACGCTTAAAATGCTCTTGCAAATGCACTGTCACAGTGTGGAATCTACTTCTAAGAGCCAGAACAGAGCCATTGCACCGTAAGCAGCAATCCTCCAGTTCATTTCTAACTCGAGTTGAATCTGCATTAGTCTGAGAAGAGGTATCAGACATTTTTCCCATGGCAAACATGTCACAGTATTTCACAGTGTGCTTGTACATCATCTTGGAATTAACTGGTATTTCAGAAGAGCCATCAGCATTCCTTGTTTCCAGGTCAGTGACATATCACATCTGGAAATTTTCAGAGTATAAATGCAATGGTATTAGGGACCGCAGGAAAAGAAGTGTTGAAGAAAAACATTATCTGTTTCTTCTCTGTTATTTGGTGCAAAAAGTAGAAGGTTTTATCTCCCCTTTTAAAGATTTATATGTTGGTCAGAGATCACTCTTGAGAGAAATACACTTAAAACATAATACAATCAATGAAGAAAGGACACCTCAGAAGTCTCCAATGCAGTGAGCCCTTGTACTTTTCCATGGCAAAGACCAGAACCCACTGAGGAAGATGGTAGCTCTGGGTGATGTTAATATAATCTTGATGTATCTTCTCTGCCTTTACAATCAGTAGAGTAATGTTTTTTCAGTATCAGGGTGGTGGGAAGCTCAATTTTTTTTTATCACAGGTGCCATTTCCTGTAGAGAATTTTAGAAGCCCATGGAGAAACAGAGACTACTGATCTTCAGTGAATTGTATGAAGATGAACTATGCATTGGATAGCATTAAAATCACTCAGTTATTCCTTTGTTTTCTAATAAGAGCAGACTGTTGTATGATGAGCTAAAGGCAGAAAGATTTAAAATAAAGAAGTGATTATACTTCTCCATTCAGGTGTAAAAACAGCCTTTGTAATATGTAATAATAGGCACTCTTAGAAACAAGCATTGGGTTTATAAGTAGATAAGAAAATGTTATGGTCACCTGCAACATTTGTAGGCATATACATTAAGGCAGTGATTTTCTGTCATTCCCCTGCAGGACTAAAGAATAAGAAATGGAAAGAAATTATACTAAAAATAATAAAGGAGATATCCTCCCCTGATTCTCTTGATCATACTCCTGTGATATAGTTTTGTACCCAGGACAGGAGCAACCACCTCAGACTCAAGCCAGCAGGAGCCTTTCTACTGAAAGCTGTATTTAACCTTTACTCACTAACAGCATGAAAAGTCAAATAACTGCTTCTAGAAGTTACTAAAAGGTAGTGTCCCGACGGACTCACACAAGCACGTGTTTTTTCTTTGATAAGCTGAGAAAAATCAAGCTAACAAGTTAAATGGATTTTATATTACTAAACTTCAAAAAATAAAACGTCACTGTAATTGCAATTTCTACAGCCTGCTGCATTCTCCAGTGTACGAGCATCTCTGACAACTGTCTGCTTAGGAGGCTAGCTGGAATTGTACCTCAGTTTGTTGCTACTTGCTGCAATCCATGCTATCTATTGCTACTTGTCTATCCATTCTCATCCAAACAGGACTGAGAAACTAATAACCCCAGGGTAGTTTATTTTACAATTTCAGAGTTAAGACAAATATTAGGAGGGTGCATTTGAGTGGAAGCTGGAGGAGGCAATGTAGACTAAACCATTCAAAAAACGACCATGAAAACTAGACCACATGTACATACCCGGGATAGCTCAGACAGAGATAATGCAGATACTCAGAGTTACACTCAATATATTCTGGATCAGATGATCCAGATGTTTCAGACTATCCTACATTTTCATATTTAGCCATTTAAAACCTGTCCTTCTTTCTGGATCCACCTTAAATTTCTCGCCACTATAAAACTCCAAACTCCAATGATGCTTCTAGCATCAGTGCAATTCCTCATAAGACTAAGCACCACAGCAGTAGTTCTTGTCGAAATAATCCTTTATTTTTAATGCATACTTTTGCTTTGCTTGCTATTGGGCACGGATTCTTCAATGCCATTCAAGAAAAATACCTGCAGTGATGTAATGGATTCTGATGGTTTGGAGACCAAGCAATTATCCAGACTATGTGCAAATTATGACATGGAAAATTACAGTGTTTAAGACAGCTGAAAATAACTCACTGGATAGGTCACATTCTACCTTGGTTAAATTCAACAAAAAAACCCAGAACAAAATAAAATCTAATCTCCTTTCCCACAAAATTATACAGTACAAACCGGTAACTGTGTTTTAGAGCTATCACTTTAGTAGCTCTTTCAGAATGCCAAGATTAACAGTTTTCAAGAATATGTTTGTAAGTGTAATGCTAGATTTTCACCTAGTATAAACTGGTGTAGCTCTGCTGAAACTAGTATAAAACACATCATCTTAAAACTTCAAATATTGGGAGTGTCTTTCTGATCTGAAATAGAGGAATCCAGTAACTTTATCTTATCTGAAAACTGTCAGTGTCCAATTTTAATCTTAATCAAGCAGTGCTTTACGTATCTTTTGGTATTAATGCTTTTTTAATAAAAGATCTGTTTTCTGCATATTCAGTGATGGTTTGATGTTTGTGTGGTTCTAAATCCAAATTTGCAGCAGAAAGTAATTGAAAGTTGGAAGATGTTCTTAGCTATTCTTTTTAACTGGGTAACTGGCAGACAGTCAGCAGCTTCTCAGCACTTTGAAATGAAACACACACTGGCAAACTACTGCTAATTTTACTCTGTGGAATCCAAGGAGAGGAAAAAACAGGAACTTCAACTAGCAGCAAGGCTTTGAACTGTTTGACTAATTTGTGAATATTTCAAATGCTTGGAACACACATGAACTACAAAAGGTCACAATTCCATGAAAAACAGCAACCCAAACAAGTACAATTTCCTGGTTTGGGATTTCTCAACCAAATACAATTGCAAATGAAATGTCTTCCCATGACCCTTTACAGTCACCATGGACATTATGTTCTTTTCTATTTTTAGAATAAGTAACATGAGGACAGGAAGAGTTAATTAATACATCTGTTTTGAAGTTTTAGATACACTGTTTTTTGAAAGTGCTTTTTATTGATTTATATTTTCTTTTTCTGGAAAAGGAACCGATTTTAATCTGTTTAAATCCCTCTTTAAATAAGGAGGAACAAAAAAAAAAAACCAAACATGAAAATTATGTATTTTCCTCAACCAGTTTCGGAGAGAATCATTCCTTGCAAAAAATTAGACAGCTAGGAAATCCAGGCACTCCAAGTTCTTTGGCTCTGCACGTAGTCAAAACTTCAGTAACTGAGAACCCAAGCTCATTCCACAGCATGCTGCATTTTCACTGAAAGCACCTTGCTGGCTGGCTAAAGTCTTCACAGAAATAGTAACGCAAAACATTTGAAATTAGATAGGGTTAATAAAAACATAAAATGCAGTGATCAGGAACGGTAAAGCTATGGTATAAAGGATTACTTAAATACTGCCTTACAGATGAACTCCAGACTAACTTAGGGCATATGAACAGTCTCCTTGAATTGATGGACTACTCATATGCTAAGCACTAAACATATATTTCAAATTTCTGCTAGGTAGAATGCTAAAAAACCTATTTATTTTAAAGAAAATCTTTTGAACCTTTCTTTTTTCTTAAAATATTCAAATTTGAAATTTGTATGTGGGGTACCAAAATCTGTAGGAGCATCCAATACCTTTTAACACTGGACAGTCAAGGGCACTGTGCCATGAATCATGCTGAAATCCTCATTGCTCCTACTTTTGTCAGTAATATTTGCTTTTAGCTTTAGATTCTTTTCTTCAGTTTCTTTACCTCAACTTCTTTAAAATAGGTCACCTGCTGATCCTGATCAACTGTGAAAGATTGTAAAGAGATAGCATATCTTCACATAACATACCATGTAAATGCAGAACATTAATTTACTGAATCTGAAAGGAGTGTTATTCACAAATGGAAGATATAAAAGGATCAGGCAAAATGAGAAGTCTCAGGAAGCAGGCTGTTGTATGTGAAGTATATGGAAGGTTTTCAAAACAAGGAGAGTAGCACAGAAATGCATGCTCAGATGCTGGGGTTGTGCGGGCTCTGGATGGATAACATCATGCTTCCCTGAGCCTGTGAGAAGGTAGAAAACAAATGGCATATGCATTTAGTAGCTCGAAAAGATGGGGTTATGGGCCACTATGTGGAGAATCAGATGAAAAGAGATGAAGGAGCTGCTTAACTGTAGTGCAAAATAGTTTCCTTCTCTCTAGGGTATTACCATAAAACTAGAACCACACAGAAATTTTCTGGACGGAAGAACTGTTTCTATTCCTTATCTACAAGCAGAGGCTCTGGTTCACTCCTGAATGGGAGCAAACGTGTATGTACGAACGTAGATGTGGCACTTCAGGACATGGCTTAGTGGGCATGGTGGTGTTGGGTTGATGGTTGTACTTCATGATCTCAAAGGTCTTCTCCAACCTTAATGATTCTGTGATTCTGTGAAACAGTGGATGAGATATGTTTTCATTGCTATGTTAATTTCTTATTCTGTTTAACAGCATTTTCATTAAAGATTAGCAACCTAGAATCACGGAGCTAAGTAGGGGCACTTTGAATTTTAGAAACTAGATAGGCTTCTTTCAATAAGACCACAGACTTATGTCTCCTAATGTAATATTTGAGCTGTGGTATAGGCAGTGTACCAGCACAGAGGGAAACAGCCCTTGCAACAAGGAGCAGGGGCAAGGTCCTGAGGGCAAGCTACCCCTCTGCAAGCCACCCCTCTGCCACAGTTGTGGTGCCCATGCCTTTTTTAGAGGTGGAATTCCTTGTCAGGATATAATTAAGGCTCATTTTGCTTTCATGCAGTATTCTTAGGAGCCACACTTGGATCTTTTTTTAAAAAATCATCCTGCTTCAGCATGATGGTCACTGTTTTTAGGTTAAAGGAACAACCTTTTCAAGGCTTCCAAGTTCATTATATGCCCCCTCTGCCTTTCACTACATTTGGACTGAATACAAAATAGCAGCTCTCTCCTGGAAAAGGCAAACTCCTCAAAAGATGACTGTAATAATGGCACAGCTGCATTACTATGCACCATGCTACTCACCTGGAATTTGCCTGGAACACAAACAGTTGTCAAATGAAATGATCTGTGAGGCATCTCATCTAGTTTTCTAATGTTGTCCAGGTACCTATGGTATTCATCCTTGAATAATCAAAATATCAAGGGATGCTTTACGAACCATTTGAACCATTCTCTAGGTGATCTACTAAGCTGATGCACAGCTTCCCAGTCAATTTGTTAGGTATGGTTCACAGAACTAGTCCCAGTCAAGGTGCGCAGAAATGCACGTGTAATGATTTCAGAGACTCAATACTTTTGGGAAAATAATTTTAATTGGATTAGTGAATAAAACCATCAGATAGGGAGATGAAATGTCATCACCCAAAGCAAGCCAAGTATGTGTCAAATATTTCCATACCTGTAAAATCAGGATAATTTTTCTCATGTTTGTCCTGTCTGTCATTACCACAGGCTACTAAGAACCAGGGGTATCTCCCTTTTTTTAAGTATGTTCAACTCACAGTGACGTCTCAGTTTGGGCAAGGATCTCTCAGCATCGCTCTAAGACAGGTCACATCTAGTGATAGATCTGATCAGGAGTCTAGAAAATTAGGCTTAATCACAATTTTCAAAGTTAAAATCTCCCTCAAGCTCTGTTAAGCTCCTGCAAAGGTCTGAGCTCTAGAAAGGCTGCATTTTTCCTTGCCAGCAAACAACTCACTCACTCACTCTAGGTGATTAAGTGTTTTCTCATCCTGTCTCTCCAGCAAAAGTGCATGAGTTGCAGCTTGATTGGTACATTAGGAAGAGGAAAGATGGATATTTCACCAGTCACTGTAAGCTTTTTTTCACTGTACTTTCCTCATTTGGGTAGTCTCAGGGAGTGCACATGATTCAACTTAACAGCTCCTCAACTGCTAAATGAAGCCAAGTTGACTATGCTAATGCTTTACATTTCCATAGTGATCTCCACACAAGCATTACAAGCAATTTAGGAAAAATCATGAGTTAACTTCCTTATCCAGTCAGTGTTATTATCACCATTCTTCAGCTGGCGAAAGAGGGACAGCAAGGGAAAGCAACTGCCAGGTGCCTCAGAGCATGTCTTCCCTGTGCACTGGAGAATGGCACAGGTTCTCCACACTAGCACTGACAAAGCTTCCAGGGTCCAACACAGTGACTGATACAGCATACAGAAAGGGATGGCTTAGCCCATACTATTATCCAAATGCTCTTCCACTTTTGCACCATTAATCCAATTAGCCATTAGCTAACTCAGTGTTAAATTCTGCCCTCATGGAGAAATGAATGACCGTACGGGCCCTATAGAGGAAAAGAATCCCCTTCTCACTCCCTGGGGACAGTGCTACAGAAATCTCAGAGCGATAGGAGGCTTGGTGGCTTTGCATTCCCTCAGCAGGGATAATTTTTGACAGTGAATCACTACACTTGTGGTGGGGTCCTAACTTCTCTCTTGCCATTGTAATACTCCCTTCATATAGCTCTCCTCTGAGATTTTTTGTAACTCTCTTAATTTCAGTAATAAAGCCTTGAATAAGTACTGGTCAATAGATACAGATATTGCATGAACATCAACAATAGACTATAGCTTAAGGCAGAAGAATCATGAAATACATTCATAATAAACCATATAATAACTCATCAGAAATACATTCATAATAAACCATCTAATAAGTCAGCAGACAAAAAATAATCTGTTTTTCCAAGGTGCATCTTTTAGAAAAGAATAGTCCTGACATCTTAGGGCAGCATTACTCTTGCTTGCAGCATTTTTAATGTTTTCATCCAAATGATGTAATAATTTCTAAAAACTGCAATTAATTCTCTTATAAGCAAACATAATCAACCATAAAAGCAGCTTGTTCCAGTGCTGGGAACAGCTTTTGAAGGTCTTTAGCATGACTATTTAATGGTCTCATAAGAGTTTTAAATACGTATTTTTTTCTTTTACCCCCTCAAGCAATTATTCATTTTTTCCCAAGTGGTTTATGGGTAATGATAGACAGGCTAATGTACACATTTTTCTTTCAGAAAAGTCCCTTTAATAAAGGATTTACTGCCATGTAATTCTTGAAGCATTTTCAGTGATTTAATCTCTTTGAAGGACTTGGGGACTGCATAGATGAGCTCAGCTATACATTACAGAGCAGACCCAAGCACCAACCTAAACATGAAAGACTCGGAAAATATGAATCTGTATCTTTCTCTGTCAGGTTGGTGTCAGTGATTAGCTAGAACTGTCTAGGCTGCCCAGAAGAGTCTATTTTTTCTGGGGAACTGAGACAGTACAGGTGACATTGGTATGTAGCCAAACTGGCTCAGGAGGACAAAGCATTTTATCCTTGGCTTCGTGACTGAGACAGCTAAAGAGTAAAAATAATGGAGTCTTGCAGTAGTTTCTCTGGTGGATGTTTGCCAATTTCCAAAGAGCTTGAGACTGCAACCTTTTTAATTGAGACCACCAGGAAGCCATCTTATAGCTCCAACTGGATACAAACTCTGACAGTTCAGTGATACGGTTATCAGCTGGGTGACCTATCCTGCTTCCCACGTATCGGAGTGATACATGTGGTGATAAGGTAGAAAATAAAAGCAATGTGACCAGAAGGAAGAAGGTAACAAAGAGAGGATTAAAAACATACCCAAGTCTTTCCAAGCAGAAATTAGCATATGCAAGGAGCTCAGAGGTCATGGGGATATTTACCGGTTGCTGGACAGTCTGGCTAGGAGGGGTTCCAGCCAGCCCTTCTGACACTCGCAGTGTGAATCCATGAAGATGAGCACATCCCCAGTTGCCCGTGCAGCTCCTAGCATCCGACCTCGGATGACTCCAAGCCTCTTGTTGCTCCGGATGAGTTTCACACCATCCAGCTTAGAGATGTATTCACTCAGAGCTGACTTCAGGGGCCCTGATAGAAACAGAACAGTCACTGAAATGTTTTAGCAACAAGTGGTAGGAGATGTTACTTCTTCCTGGTAAAATGTTTTAGGGGCATTTGTTTTACATGGCCAAGTAGGCCATGTTCCAAATATTCCCACAGCAGCATCATGTCAAAGAGAAGTAGAGACTAATAGAAACTGAGATTCACTAGGTGCGAAGTTATTCCGGTGGGAAACTTAATAGCCTCCTCTCCTGTTTTCAGCAAAAGGTGGATGCTCTCGTCATCTCATAAAAAGGTGCAGATCAGAGTGAGATACTACAGGTGTTTGGCTTTCCCAAGCACTTTGGATTACTTTAGCAATGTGGAGTTTTCCACTCTATGCTTCAGCCAAAGTCCAAGTCTGGAAATTATTACGGCAGATCTGGTCCAGTGGGAAGGCTAAGATTTGCATACTGTGATCTTATTTTAAAGTAAGAAAGTTTGAAGTGGTGGGAAATGATGGGGAAAAAACCCCCATATTTCAAATCTGAAAGGGTAAGCTGAATTCTAGGGATGGAAGAGTGAAGCCTGGCAGCCAGCTCAGAACTTAGCTCTCTTCCTGAGGGTCCTCTTTGCCTTCTACTCTCCTCACACACTTATTGGAGGACGACAGTTTCTTACCTGAAGCTTTGGAAGAAAGAGCTCACATACAGAGAAATGGGGACTACCTTGCTGGCTGAGATCATCGACGAGGATGATATCCTTGAGGGAGGCCTTTGGGGCTGTGTCCATAATGCTGTGCACAGTTCTCAGCAGAGTAGACCAGGCTTCGTCATGGAAACAGATGATGACACTAGCAGTAGGCAGAATGGAGTCATATTCTTGCTGTAGGCACCTGCATGGGATCAAATGAGAGAGACACTAGAAACACTGGTACAACTGGCTACTTGTCTCTCAGAGCAAAGTTGTAAGCTACACCTAAACCTTGAGGGACAGAAAGCAGTTTAAGATACCGGCTCACTTCTAACAAAGCAAAGGAAGTATTAAGGTATCTAAGACTGGAATACAAAGTGAAAATTATAAAAATTAAAATGGAAAAATAGGACTGTTTTTCTGTATTCTGGGATAATTTCTTCTGCTCTGGATGCTTGAAAATACACAGCTCAAAAGAAATGGTCCAGAAGGCAAAGAAAGAGAAACTGAAGACAATTAGATGAAAGCAGAGAGGGGCATAAAGGTGAGTCAGCCTCCACCAATTTGCACATTTTCTCAAGTAACACATAAAAGAGTAAACTGAAACGCAGTACCTTTAAGACTAACAAGTAAAATAAGTCATCTGCACAACAGATCAGTATACCTGTGGACTGCTTGACCAGTGAAAGAAGCCCACATCTCAGTCCTGTACAGGAAAGAAATGTATCCTTACATGGGCAACAAAACCAAATGCAGATACATTTAAGAAAGTAAATGTGTTTTTTCCTACAGAGTT